GTAGGTCTCGTCAATAAAACTTACAGGTGTCACTTGCTGATGTTGTGAATTGGAGTTGGATTTTGGTGACTTTCACCACTGCATGCCCACCCGTAACTTATTTGACGGGGCCTCCACAGGCTTTCCGTGGACAATGCATTAACAAGTCATAATTTAAGTTTATAATCATTTTATTATGCAAAACGTACAGTGCTACACTCAGGTAACACCGTCTGACAAGTTCATATACATTACAACTCATCAATATTCATATTTACCTGAAAAAAGGTCTGTCCACGGAAAGCCTACGTAGGTCCCGTGAAGTAAGTTACAGGTGTCCCTTGCTGATGTTGGGAATTGGAGTTGGATTTTGGTGAGTATCACCACTGCATACCCACCTGTAACTTATTTGAAGGGGCCTCCACAGGCTTTACGTGGACAATGAGTTAATAGGTCATATGTCATAAATACGATGATTTTATTGAGTAATACCAGCTATACAGTGCTCAGGAAACGCCGTCCAGCAGTGAAATGGCTTAATTTGCATAAAAATGCACTGTCCACGGAAAGCCTGTGGAGGCCCCATCAAATAAGTTACAGCCGTCACTTCTCACTTCCCACCCGTAATTTATTTGACGGGGCCTCCACAGGCTTTCCATGCAGGGTGCCCCCTCAGGCCGGAGTCGTGGTACCCTCGGTCGGGTAGAGGGGGGACTGCAGGGTGCCCCCCTAAGGCCGGAGCCGTGGTTCCCTTGGTCGGGTAGAGGGGGAACTGCAGGGTGCCCCCCTCATGCCGGAGTCGTGGTTCCCTCGGTCCCCTGATGAGGCCCCCTGCCCTGTCTCTCCGTGACGATGTAAGCTGAGCTCCAGGGGCCTTTTCGAGCGGTGCCAGGCCCACATCGGAATCACCCCGGCGGCCGTGAGAAGAAGGGAGGTGGAGGATTGGGTCGGCCGTGACTCGGGGTCCCAGGTGCGCAGAGCCAGCAAACTCGGGTCGAAGTTGGGTCTCAGGGGGCCGCTCGGAACGTCCCTGGGCCCGAGGTCCCGGGCTACCCCCGGGCGGAGTTACGGGTCCCGACAGAAAAGGGTGCGCTTTGGCAACGAGGTCCCTGGAGGCTCGGGACCATGGTGGTCCGAGGGGGCACCCAGGGAGGAGCCACCACCCGGAATCAGGAGCCGCGGCGAACTTCGGTTTCCGATCTACGGCCGTTTTCATCCGGAAGCGCGGTTTACGTAAGCAGGCATGTCCGGGGAACGGAAGGCGCCAGTGTGTCGAGACAAGGGGGGACAGGAGCGCTCGCTGGGACCCTCCCGTGGGTGGCGTACCGAGGCCCTGGGACCTTCCGCTTCCGAGATACGGCCACTTCCTGTCCAGCTTCGATGGGGCCCCGGTCGGACAGGAAGCCGAAGCCGGAAACTCGGGGCGTCGGTAGGGCTCTGGGGGCCCTCTCCAACGCGACCCACCCGGACTTCTGGCGCCGTCCGCTTCCGGAGTTGTGAGGGTTCAAAGTCTAAATTTGGGGGGGGCGCTATCTCCGGCCCCCGGCGGGCTATCGACTCGGGGGAGGCGGCGTCGGATAGGAGGCCTCGGGGTCTATCTCCGTCCCGAGTTTGGTGGGGTTCGGCCTCGGCCTCGGGAAGATATAGCCGGTCAAATGTTTCAACTTTTGGGGGCGCTATCTCTGGCCCCCGGGGGGGTATCAACTCGGGGGAGGCGGCGTCGGATAGGGGGCCTCGGGGTCTATCTTCTCCCCGCGATAGCCCACCGGTGGCCGGGGATAGCGCCCCCGACAATGCATTAGCAGGTCATATGTCATAAATACGATGATTTTATTGAGTATAACCAGCTATACAGTGCTCAGGAAACGCCGTCCAGCTGTGAAATGGCTTAATTTGCATAAAAATGCACTGTCCATGGAAAGCCTGTGGAGGCCCCGTCAAATAAGTTACAGCCGTCACTTGTCACTTGCCCACCCGTAACTTATTTGACGGGGCCTCCACAGGCTTTCCATGGACAATGCATTAATAAGTCATGTCATAAATACGATGATTTTATTGAGTAATACCAGCAGTACAGTGCTCAGGAAAGTTTCATCTACAACGGAGCTCGTGGAATGGCTTAATTTGCATAAAAATGCACTGTCCACGGAAAGCCTTTATCTGACAAGTTCATATACATTACAACTCATCAAAATTCATAATTACCTTAAAAAAGGTCTGTCCACGGAAAGCCTATGTAGGTACCATCAAGTAAGTTACAGGTGTCACTTGCTGATGTTGGGAATTGGAGTTGGATTTTGGTGAATTTCACCACTGCATGCCCACCCGTGACGTGAAATGGCTTAATTTGCATAAAAATGCACTTG